AAAAGAATAAAAATCTGTGATCACTTTTATTTTCTACTAAAACTCGATTTTTGATTGAAAACATAAAAGTCCATTTTCTGGCTAAACTATAAGCGCTAGGGCCAAAAGAGTGAAAATCTGTGATCACTTTTATTTCTTAAGAAATCTCGATTTTTGAGTGAAAACATAAAAGTCCATTTTCTGGCTAAACTATAAGCGCTAGGACCAAAAGAATGAAAATCTGTGATCACTTTTATTCTCTATTACAACTCGATTTTTGAGTGAAAACATAAAAGTCCATTTTCTGGCTAAACTATAAGCGCTAGGGCCAAAAGAATGAAAATCCGTGATCACTTTTATTTCTTAAGAAATCTCGATTTTTGAGTGAAAACATAAAAGTCCATTTTCTGGCTAAACTATAAGCGCTAGGGCCAAAAGAATGAAAATCTGTGATCACTTTTATTTCTTAAGAAATCTCGATTTATGAGTGAAAACATAAAAGTCCATTTTCTGGCTAAACTATAAGCGCTAGGGCCAAAAGGGTGAAAATCTGTGATCACTTTTATTTCTTAAGAAATCTCAATTTTTGAGTGAAAACATAAAAGTCCATTTTCTGGCTAAACTATAAGCGCTAGGGCCAAAAGAGTGAAAATCTGTGATCACTTCTCTCTTAAAACTCGATTTTTGAGTGAAAACATAAAAGTCCATTTTCTGGCTAAACTATAAGCGCTAGGGCCAAAAAAATGAAAATCTGTGATCACTTTTATTTCCTACTAAAACTCGATTTTTGAGTGAAAACATAAAAGTCCATTTTCTGGCTAAACTATAAGCGCTAGGGCCAAAAGAATGAAAATCTGTGATCACTTTTATTTCCTACTAAATCTTGATTTTTGAGTGAAACATAAAAGTCCATTTTCTGGCTAAACTATAAGCGCTAGGGCCAAAAGGGTGAAAATCTGTGATCACTTTTATTTCTTAAGAAATCTCGATTTTTGAGTGAAAACATAAAAGTCCATTTTCTGGCTAAAAAATAAGCGCTAGGGCCAAAAGAATGAAAATCTGTGATTACTTTTATTCTCTATTAAAACTCGATTTTTGAGTGAAAATATTAAAGTCCATTTTCTGGTTAACTATAAGCGCTAGGGCCAAAAGAGTGAAAATCTGTGATCACTTTTATTTCCTCCTAAAACTCGATTTTTGAGTGAAAACATAAAAGTCCATTTTCTGGCTAAACTATAAGCGCTAGGGCCAAAAGAATGAAAATCTGTGATCACTTTTATTTCCTACTAGAACTCGATTTTTGTGTGAAAACATAAAAGTCCATTTTCTGGCTAAACTATAAGCGCTAGGGACAAAAGAATGAAAATCTGTGATCACTTTTATTCTCTATTAAAACTCGATTTTTGAGTGAAAACATAAAAGTCCATTTTCTGGCTAAACTGTAAGCGCTAGGGCCAAAAGAATGAAAATCTGTGATCACATTTATTCTCTATTTAAACTCGATTTTTGAGTGAAAACATAAAAGTCCATTTTCTGGCAAAACTAGAAGCGCTAGGGCCAAAAGAATGAAAATCTGTGATCACTTTTATTTCCTACTAAAACTCGACTTTTGAGTGAAAACATAAAAGTCCATTTTCTGGCTAAACTATAAGCGCTAGGGCCAAAAGAGTGAAAATCTGTGATCACTTTTACTCTCTATTAAAGTCCATTTTCTGGCTAAACTATAAGCGCTAGGGCCAAAAGAGTGAAAATCTGTGATCACTTTTACTCTCTATTAAAACTCGATTTTTGAGTGAAAACATAAAAGTCCATTTTCTGGCTAAACTATAAGCGCTAGGGCCAAAAGAATAAAAATCTGTGATCACTTTTATTTTCTACTAAAACTCGATTTTTGATTGAAAACATAAAAGTCCATTTTCTGGCTAAACTATAAGCGCTAGGGCCAAAAGAGTGAAAATCTGTGATCACTTTTATTTCTTAAGAAATCTCGATTTTTGAGTGAAAACATAAAAGTCCATTTTCTGGCTAAACTATAAGCGCTAGGACCAAAAGAATGAAAATCTGTGATCACTTTTATTCTCTATTACAACTCGATTTTTGAGTGAAAACATAAAAGTCCATTTTCTGGCTAAACTATAAGCGCTAGGGCCAAAAGAATGAAAATCCGTGATCACTTTTATTTCTTAAGAAATCTCGATTTTTGAGTGAAAACATAAAAGTCCATTTTCTGGCTAAACTATAAGCGCTAGGGCCAAAAGAATGAAAATCTGTGATCACTTTTATTTCTTAAGAAATCTCGATTTATGAGTGAAAACATAAAAGTCCATTTTCTGGCTAAACTATAAGCGCTAGGGCCAAAAGGGTGAAAATCTGTGATCACTTTTATTTCATAAGAAATCTCAATTTTTGAGTGAAAACATAAAAGTCCATTTTCTGGCTAAACTATAAGCGCTAGGGCCAAAAGAGTGAAAATCTGTGATCACTTCTCTATTAAAACTCGATTTTTGAGTGAAAACATAAAAGTCCATTTTCTGGCTAAACTATAAGCGCTAGGGCCAAAAGAATAAAAATCTGTGATCACTTTTATTTTCTACTAAAACTCGATTTTTGATTGAAAACATAAAAGTCCATTTTCTGGCTAAACTATAAGCGCTAGGGCCAAAAGAGTGAAAATCTGTGATCACTTTTATTTCTTAAGAAATCTCGATTTTTGAGTGAAAACATAAAAGTCCATTTTCTGGCTAAACTATAAGCGCTAGGGCCAAAAGAATGAAAATCTGTGATCACATTTATTTCCTACTAAATCTTGATTTTTAACTGAAAACATAAAAGTCCATTTTCTGGCTAAACTATAAGCGCTAGGGCCAAAAGAATGAAAATCTGTGATCACTTTTATTTCCCCCTGAAACTCGATTTTTGAATGAAAACATAAAAGTCCATTTTCTGGCTAAACTATAAGCGCTAGGGCCAAAAGAATGAAAATCTGTGATCACTTTTATTTCCTACTAAAACTCGATTTTTGAGTGAAAACATAAAACTCCATTTTCTGGCTAAACTATAAGCGCTAGGGCCAAAAGAATGAGAATCTGTGATCACTTATATTTCCTACTAAAACTCGTGAAAACATAAAAGTCCATTTTCTGGCTAAACTATAAGCGCTAGGGCCAAAAGAATGAAAATCTGTGATCACTTTTATTTCCTACTAAATCTTGATTTTTGAGTGAAAACATAAAAGTCCATTTTCTGGCTAAACTATAGGGCCAAAAGAATGAAAATCTGTGATCACTTTTATTTCCTACTAAAACTCGATTTTTGAATGAAAACATAAAAGTCCATTTTCTGGCTAAACTATAAGCGCTAGGGCCAAAAGAATGAAAATCTGTGATCACTTTTATTCTCTATTAAAACTCGATTTTTGAGTGAAAACATAAAAGTCCATTTTCTGGCTAAACTATAAGCGCTAGGGCCAAAAGAATGAAAATCTGTGATCACTTTTATTTCCTACTAAAACTCGATTTTTGAGTGAAAACATAAAAGTCCATTTTCTGGCAAAACTATAAGCGCTAGGGCCAAAAGAATGAAAATCCGTGATCACTTTTATTCTCTATTAAAACTCGATTTTTGAGTGAAAACATAAAAGTCCATTTTCTGGCTAAACTATAAGCGCTAGGGCCAAAAGAATGAAAATCCGTGATCACTTTTATTCTCTATTAAAACTCGATTTTTGAGTGAAAACATAAAAGTCCATTTTCTGGCTAAACTATAAGCGCTAGGGCCAAAAGAATGAAAATCCGTGATCACTTTTATTCTCTATTAAAACTCGATTTTTGAGTGAAAACATAAAAGTCCATTTTCTGGCTAAACTACAAGCGCTAGGGTCAAAAGAATGAAAATCTGTGATCACTTTTATTTCCTACTAAATCTTGATTTTTGAGTGTGTTTAGGGGGTGGATTGAAAAATAATTATATTGTATAAAATATCACCAAAGACAAACAAAAAAATTAGGAGTTTTATTTTTAATAATTCAATATTTTATTCCGACGGGGTTTACCTCTGTCATCAGGGTTTTTTTTCACACTAAACTAGGTTTATAATAATTATAAGTAATAAGCTCAGATAATCATTAAGAGAGAAGTAGAGTAAATATTACTTTCCAATATGGAAAGCATAATAAAGACACACTCAAGGGCACAAATATAAGGGCATAATAATTCTTTAGATTATAAAAAAATAAATGTTCTAATTTAACATAAACATCCCGCCCCCCTTGCAGGATTGCAACTTCAAAAAAATTAGGGGGGAGAGTGTTGTAATATATCTTTAGTACATAATTAATTTTGCATTAAATATATATATATATATATGTATATAGAAGAAGTAAAAATATATGTTGAAGAGATTTTCTTTATGAAAAGATATATATGTTAATCAATATATCTACGAGATAAACATAATTCAGGTGTGTTATACAAAAAAAAATAAACATAAGTTGAGATATGATTTATTTAGGTGTGACGTTGATCACAATTGTAGGACCAGATGCAGACGTGCCTAGTGCGGAACCATTGGTGTTTAAGGTGTAGCGATTTTGAGTTTGTAAGGATCGTTGCCGGTTATATTGTTGTTGTCGTTTACTATTTTGTTGAAGCTGGTTATTTCGTCGGTGCCGGCGACTGTTTGCTCTGAAAGTATGTAGGAGCGTATGGTGTTCAGAAAGACATTCTCGACATCTATCACGACAACGGCAATCCTTTACAAAATGCGAGTGAGCAAGGCAATTGATACAATATCGGTACTTGCGAACAACATTCCAACGCTCTCGTACCGATAGTCGCTTAAACCTTAGGCATTTCCTTAAGGGATGATCCATGTTACAGTAGCGACAATCCTTAAGTTTCCTGGTACGGACAACTAGGGCGTTTTCTCTGTGACTCGTAGGGACATCATTGTTGGAGTTACGGTTGATCCTTAAACGTCGGGGCATAGTAGACATGGTTGCTGAAAAGATAAATTATTTAGATTATGGCTGTTCAAATGGGGGTAATAAAACTAATTTAACAATTGGACGCGTTACTAGGCCATTAGATGTACGCACTTCGCAAACTCTAACTTTCGAGTCAGGTCCACAAATAACCTTTTCTATACGCCCTAGACGCCACTGATTTGGAGGTAAATTATCACGTCTAACTACAACCAAATCATTAACAGCGAAATCTCTTTGAGGGTACTGCCATTTAATCCGCTTATGTAGCTCCTTTAAGTACTCTTCTTTCCATCTAAGTGCAAAATGGTGGTGCAGAACCTTAAGTTTTTGCCATCGATTTATATAGCTTAGGGATTGTTGGGAAGAGTCAGGTTCAGCGGGCGCTAAAAGTGGAGCTCCAATGAGAAAATGGCCAGGCGTTAGAGCGTTAATATCTGAAGGATTTTCAGTCATTGGACTAAGGGGGCGTGAATTTAAACACGCTTCGATTCGAATAAGCATTGTAGAAAACTCTTCGTACGTAAAAGTCTGGGCGTGAGTTACTTTTTTAAGGTGGGTCTTAAAACTCTTTACACCTGCTTCCCACAATCCACCCATATGTGGAGCACCAGGAGGTATGAATCGCCAGTCGATGGATTGAAAAGCAAATTGACTTAAGAGTCCCTGACGCACAAGGGAAAGAAAATTATCTCTGTCTCGAGCAAGAATATTGGCAGCTCCAACAAAAGCAGTGCCATTATCGGAAAACATTACATGTGGACAACCTCTACGAGAGAAAAACCGAGAGAAAGCTGCCATAAAGGCAGGGGTAGATATCTCACTGGTAAGTTCTAAGTGTATTGCTTTCGTTGAAAAACAAACAAAGACAAGAACGTAGCTTTTTGTTACCTTACAACCGCGACCAACATAAGACTTGAGGTCAAAAGGCCCGGCAAAATCGACACCAGTGTTTGTAAAGGGGCGTGAGAGAGTAGTACGTTCAGGTGGGAGCATACCCATGATTTGTTTACTTCGTATATGCCTTTGCAGTATACAGTCTTTACAGTTGTGAACAATCAACTTCGTTAAGTTTTTAAGCTTCGGTACCCAGTATTCAATTCGCATTAGCCGCAATAAAACAGAGTTTTCTCCGTGCATGGAAGATTTATGAATCAATTCAAGATATAATCTGGTAAATTTACCATTGTAAGGCAAAATTTTGGGGAATCTTTCATCGTATGTAAGTGTCGGGGATTGAGAGAGTCGACCATTTACTCTCATTGTTCCTTCAAGGTCGATAAAAGGGTTTAAAGCTAGAAGATTGCTTTTTCTAGATACTGATAAACCACGAGCTAAAACTTCGTACTCTGGAAAATGAAGTTTTTGACACATTATGACTAACCGTTGTTTCACATGTTTCATCTCAGATTGAAGCAGGTCTTTTGACTCATAATGATAATTGTGAGAAGGGGAGATTTTGTGGAAGAAACGAAATACATAACAAAGAACTCGCATAGCCCTTGAGAGGTCGGAAAACCTATTCAAGATGTCACATGTGGTCACCAGATTAGCATGAACTTTAATTGGTTTCATTTCCTCTTGGGTTTCTAAATCGGGAATGGAAGATGGCCATGTTGAATGTTGCATTTGAAGCCACGAGGGTCCATGCCACCACAAAGAATTCTGAATTAAATCTCTAGCTGTGATACCACGAGACGCTAGATCTGCTGGATTATTTTTCGAATCAACGTGAAACCATACATCTTTTCCTACTTTATCAATTATAGAAGAGACTCTATTTGCTACAAATGTCTTCCAGTGACTCGGGGGTTTTTGCAGCCATGATAGAACTATAGTGGAGTCAGTCCACATATAGACACGATTACTTCCAATATCCAATTGCGATCGTATTGATTTGAACATTCTTGCCATTAATTCTGCGCCACAAAGTTCTTTTCGGGGAAGTGTTACGAACTTAACGGGTGCTACCTTTGTCTTGGCTGCCAAAAGATGCGTGTAAACTTGTCCCTTTGGACTTTCGGCCCGAAGATATAAAGTAGCCGCGTATGCTACTTCGGATGCATCACAGAATCCGTGCAATTCAATGGAAAATGATGGATCAAAGTCAATATAACGGGGTATTTGTATATGTTCTAAATTCGAATAATCGTCGAGGAATGCCTGCCACTGCGTTAAAGTAGATGGCGCAATTTCTTCGTCCCATGCAGTATTATCTTTCCAGATTTGTTGCATTATTATTTTTGCAACAATTATCTTAGGGGCAAGCCAACCGGCGGGATCAAAAAGTTTCGCTATTTGGGACAAGACAACTCTTTTAGTGAAAATATTTTCCGTTGAAAATTGAAAGGGTTTGAAGTAAAAACAATCATTTCCTGCATTCCATCTCAGACCTAAAGTTTTTGATGTGCAGGAATCTGATAACTTTAAAAAATTGGAATCTAGAAGATATTTTGGTGGTAAATCTTGTAGGAGACGCTTGTGGTTAGCTGTCCACTTTCTGAGTGAAAAACCGGCAGTATTTAGAACTTGAGTAAGATCTTTGCGAGCTTGGAGAGCGGTGCTCAAATCATGAGACCCAAATAGAACATCATCTACGTACATATAATTTCTCAAAATGTCGGAAACCATGGGGAAATCAGTTTCACATTGTTTAGCTAGCTCCAGCAGAGTTCTTATAGCCAAATATGGGGCACAATTGACGCCAAAGGTCACTGTGAGCATTTCAAAGTCACTTAACTGATCATCGGGTGATTGTCGAAATATAATGCGCTGAAATGGGGTTTGAGTCTTGTCAATAAGAATCTGCCGATACATTTTCTCGATATCGGCATTAAAGACGTAACGGAATAGTCGCCACCTTAGAATGAGAATCGTTAGATCAGCCTGTAGAACAGGACCAGCGTATAAAATATCGTTAAGACTTACGCCACTAGATGAGGGATTTGACGCGTTAAAGACAACTCGAAGTTTAGTGGTTGTACTATCTGGTTTTATTACCGCATGGTGGGGGAGATAGTACGAAGTGTTAGGGTTTGCCGATAAGTCAGGATGAACTTTTACCATGTGGTGAAGGGTTAGATATTCCGAAATAACCTTGTCATAATCGTTTTTTGTGGAGGATTGTTTTACCAGACGAGCTTCATTACGAAGGTATTGTGCTATAGCGGTATCACGAGAGTTGCCTAGATTTTGTTCAACCGGAAATTCTTTTTTAAACGGAAGAGAAACTACAAATCTTCCCTCTTTATTTCTGTAAGTTGTTCTTTCGTATAATTTCTCACAATATCGATCTTCATCTGACATACGACTCGCTTCTTGAACCTCCTCCAGTTCCCAAAAACGTGTCAATTGAAGATTGAGGTCAACTTCGTTGTAAAAAGAAGAAACTGTTCGACATGGAGTTGAAGAACCAATCTGGCCAGTCACAACCCATCCAAAAACTGTCTTTTGTGCGACTAAATTATGATCATTTTCCCATTTAACTCCCTCTTTAAGAACTTGTGGGTATATATCACCACCTAAAAGTAAATCAACTGGGCTACTTTTCTGTAGCCCGGTGTCTGCTAATTGCAAACCGTTAAATTTATTTCTAACTGTTGAGAGAATGGAGTGGTAGGGTAGTTCACCAGTAAGTTTACGGACAACAAATGCATTAACTTTAATTGAAAAATTCTTATCGATGGGAGAGCTGATTAAAAGTGAACAAACTTGACTGGATGTGGCAGTTATGGCTTCGTTTAGACCAGTGACTTGTGTTTCAGAGAATCGAGACGGCAACGAGAGTCTCCTTTTAAGAGAAGATGAAACAAAGGAAGCTTCTGAGGCAGGATCTATAAGAGCACGAACTCTTAATCTAACATCCCCAACACACACATCGACTGAAGCAGTTCCAAGAAGTATAAACTTAGCTTGAGTGGACTGTAAACGAGTTGAAAAGGTTTGACGATTTTGGGCTGCCGCAGCAGTAGATGTGGATGGCGTATCAATATGATTAGTTAGAGTAGGAGGATTTGTCTTATCTTGAGTGTTCTGACCACTATCTTGGGGTTGATTATTCTTTGATGTGTTCAATGTGCGGTGAAGTAGGGTGTGGTGTTTCTGCTTGCAATAAAGACAGACAAATTTGCTTAAACATTTTTTATAGTCGTGTGAACAGGCTAAGCAATTAAAGCAACGTTTCTGATTTCTGACTATAGATGAGCGGTCTTCTACAGACATTTTTAAAAACGTTGGACATTTTTGAAGAGAGTGGAAATCGGAACAAAGGCAACATTTTGTAGGTTTATTAACTGACTTATTGGGTGCTACGTTGGTATGATAAGTATTAAACTTCTTAACATCACGAGAAGTGTGCGGTTTTTGAGGAGAATTATTCTTAACTGTAGTATTATGAGGTTTGGAAGATCTAATATCCGCAAAGGACTCTAAAGTCTGATATCTAGAGGTTAGGAATTCGTTCATTTGCTTCCAAGTTGGTAGGCCATTAGTGGATCTGTGGTGTTGTTTCCATAAATCTAGTGTAACATCTGGAAGGCAAGTGGAACACAGATAAACAAAAATTACATCCCATTTATCCGTTTCTATATCGAGCATGGATAGATTTGTTATACAATCATTGATTGTACGCTGAAGAGTGTTTATACTGTTTCCCGATTCCTTTTGAATAGGGGTTAAACTAAAAAGTAGCTTTAATTGGGCGTTAAGAAGAACTTCTTTGTTTTCGTATCTTTCAACAAGATTTTTCCATGCCATCTCAAAACCTGCGTTGGTCAATGGACATGATTTTACTATATCACGAGCTTCGTTTTGAGTCTTCTTAAGGAGATGATAAAGTTTCTCAACGGGGGATAAACGGGGGTTATTCCTATATAGGGCAGAGAACATATCTCTGAACGAAGGCCAGGAGACGTAATCTCCATAGAAGACATCTGTGTCACATAGAAGACATCTGTGTCACAGGGTGGCAACGAGATATTTGGAGTTTGTAGATTCCGAAGCTCTATGTTATCTACAAAAGTAGTTGCCTTATTACTGATTTGATCAAGGAGCTCATTTGCCCTTGAAAGACATTTGAGGTGTGCGTCATAGGCAACAAAGAATTTGTTTTGAACAGTCGTTAAGGATACATCAGAATCATCAGATTCAAGTTGACTTAAAAGAGAATCGTACACTGTTCGAAGAGAAGACCATAAGTGAGTAATTTCATCTTTTTGCACCTCTAAGGTATGTATAGTGTGCTCATCCTGAGGAATTGCAGAAAAATAAGCGTAAAATTGAACCACACGGTCCGATGCTCTGATAAATGCGTTCAAATCAGACATAATGAACAAAATTATGAAGAACAAACAAAAACAGAGCAAAATGAGTGTTCTTTAAGGTGCCAACGACGCCGATCGTAAAGCTTAAACTAGATCACTAATCCAAAAGAAACAAAATAGGGTGAAATGTATGATATTTGAGTCCACAAAGTCCACCGTACTACAAACAAAAATGCAAAATTTTACCTAATTGGTCGTTGGGTTATCTAAGGTAGCAAAAGTAAAGTTCAACGTAAATAATTTTATTACTCAGTTAAGTGTGGTTTAACTTGCTGTTAAACTCGGAACAAATTTAGGCGGAAAATAACCGATGATTGGGTTTTTCAGTAATGGAGTTAAGAGCAGTTAACTTTGTTAGTATTGCCAACTTTTCCGTCAAAAAACATAAATAATAAACAACAAATCAAAAAAATTACTAGTAACTTAATAAAAAATAAGTTTTCTTATTCCGTTTCGTTATTTTAATTGTTTTTCCTCAATCTGTATTGACGCTGATAACTTAGGTTTAACTGGCCAATAATACTCGGTTAAACCAAGATAATAAACAAATTAACTGATTACTGAAATACACACAACTACGATTAAGCTAGGTTTAAACCAGATATGTAGACTATCATGATCAATAAAACTCTCCTTAAAAGAATTTAGCAAAGAATAAAGCTTATGAAATACAAATGTAAATAAACTTTAAAAAGGAATCGTAATTCAATAATTTAAAAACAAGTTTTTAATATTCTTGTTAATAAAGCATATATTTCGTAAAAAAAAAGAGATGTCAAGATATTTCGGTATTGAAAATAAAATTTTTCTCTTATTTTCCGTTTAAATCAAAAAACAAATTCATCGTTTGTGATATTTATCAGTAAAGTTTGAAATTATTCTTGATATTTATTGTTATCGAAATTTTTTTTTTTCACCATTCATTATATTTGAATATAAAAATTATTTTAATCCTTTTTTTTCTTTTTTTTTAATTCAGGAAGAAAACAAATTAAATTTTCATTTAGACTTTCAAAACTTCAAATTGTTAGATTATTATTAACATTTAATTTTTCGATGTAGATTGGAGTCTGATGTTGACTGATTATTTCATCTCACAAAGGGTTAATAGTATTGATCATTACTAAGAGACTATTAAAGATTATTTGTGCAAATACTCTTGAGTGATTTATTTACTTTATTAAATTTGCTCTTTCTTTATTAAACAAGAATAAACTAACACCACTCTTTTAAATTTGTTGCAATGGACAATTAAATTTGAGTAAATGTATGACACTTTAAGTTTTTCTTCACTTCTCTCTCTCTCTCTCTCTCTACGGTATGACACTTTTAAATTTACTTTAATAGGATTGTATCTGAAATGTTGAGCAACTTTCAGAAGAAATGTTGCAATACTAAGATTGGATTTTACTCTGTTAAATATTAAAATGTTTATATGTTAATTTCTAAGTGGATCTCGTTTCATTTAAACAAGGGATTTTTTATCGGCGAAGAAAATATAACTGTTTGCCAAGTGTGTACATAGATGACCAAATAAATATTCATGTACATACATATTTAAATCTTTCTTCTTGCTGTTGTTTTTTTTTTATATTGTTTTAAATAACCCTTTTTTTTTTTTTAACAAAATTTTTTCTTACATACCTTTTTTAAGTTTTTTACTTGAATATCTATTTAATTACTTGCTGTTTAAACGTTTTTTTTTTTTTCTTCTTTTGGAGTTTTACTAAGAATTTCTTTGGGGATTCACTTGTTGGTTTTCAGAATGCTCCAGATCCAAAGGGAATCAGTACCATATATTTCTATCACAATTAAGGTGTCTGCAAATACAGTAGTTTTCCGATTTAACGAACTCATATGTTGTCAGGCCTGTTCGTAAAATTGAAAAGTTCGTTATATGCAGTACTAACTAAAACGTGGGTTTTTGGTAGGAAAATAATTAAAAATAGGTACATAAAATATTTTTTAAATGTATTTTATAAAAATGAATTCTTTTTCTATAAAAATAGCACAAAACACAAAATTCTGAATCTTATATACCCACCTTCAAACCATATTTGTGTCGAATTTCATCGCTGTATTTTTAATTCAGTCATGAGCGTTAAAGTTATTTCTCCAAGTTCATCGCTATTCTCGTATTTTTAAGCGAGTAATGAGCGTTGAAGTAATTTTCTTAAGGGGGCCTGATATGGAGGGTAAGGTCAATTATGGACCGATTCCCTTAAAATTTGTTAGAGATTTCGGTTAGTATAGAACATGTTTGTATCGAATTTCATAGGCGTACTCGTATTGTTAACCGAGTAATGAGCGTTAAAGTCATTATCTGAAGGACGGACGGACATAGTAGCTATGTCCGTCCCTAAAGCTACAAATTTAATAAGAACCCAGAATGTGTTACAGTTTTGGGTATAAAAGCACCGCTTAAAACAACGGTATAGTTTTTTGCTACAACTTAGGTTATTTGTTATTTTTGATAATGTCATTTTATCTTCATTTAAATAATAATATTTTTATTAGTTCGTTAAACAGAGTACAAAAACAAGTTTTGTTCGTTATTTAAGGTAGTCAATAGGAAAAATTAGCTTGTTCGTTAAATGCGATGTTCGTAGAATTGAATGGTCGTTAAATCGGAAAACTACTGTATACATATTTTACGCAATATAATTTTTCAAATCCGGCTCGTACGGACCAAAAAAATGTTTAGGGGGTGGATTGAAAAATAATTATATTGTATAAAATATCACCAAAGACAAACAAAAAAATTAGGAGTTTTATTTTTAATAATTCAATATTTTATTCCGACGGGGTTTACCTCTGTCATCAGGGTTTTTTTTCACACTAAACTAGGTTTATAATAATTATAAGTAATAAGCTCAGATAATCATTAAGAGAGAAGTAGAGTAAATATTACTTTCCAATATGGAAAGCATAATAAAGACACACTCAAGGGCACAAATATAAGGGCATAATAATTCTTTAGATTATAAAAAAATAAATGTTCTAATTTAACATAAACAGAGTGAAAACATAAAAGTCCATTTTCTGGCTAAACTATAAGCGCTAGGGCCAAAAGAATGAAAATCTGTGATCACTTTTATTTCCTACTAAATCTTGATTTTTGAGTGAAAACATAAAAGTCCATTTTCTGGCTAAACTATAAGCGCTAGGGCCAAAAGAATGAAAATCTGTGATCACTTTTATTTCCTACTAAAACTCGATTTTTGAGTGAAAACATAAAAGTCCATTTTCTGGCTAAACTATAAGCGCTAGGGCCAAAAGAATGAAAATCTGTGATCACTTTTATTTCCTACTAAATCTTGATTTTTGAGTGAAAACATAAAAGTCCATTTTCTGTCTAAACTATAGGGCCAAAAGAATGAAAATCTGTGATCACTTTTATTTCCTACTAAAACTCGATTTTTGAATGAAAACATAAAAGTCCATTTTCTGGCTAAACTATAAGCGCTAGGGCCAAAAGAATGAAAATCTGTGATCACTTTTATTCTCTATTAAAACTCGATTTTTGAGTTTTGATGGCTAAACTATAAGCGCTAGGGCCAAAAGAATGAAAATCTGTGATCACTTTTATTTCCTACTAAAACTCGATTTTTGAGTGAAAACATAAAAGTCCATTTTCTGGCAAAACTATAAGCGCTAGGGCCAAAAGAATGAAAATCTGTGATCACTTTTATTTCCTACTAAATCTTGATTTTTGAGTGAAAACATAAAAGTCCATTTTCTGTCTAAACTATAAGCGCTAGGGCCAAAAGAATGAAAATCTGTGATCACTTTTATTTCCTACTAAAACTCGATTTTTGAGTGAAAACATAAAAGTCCATTTTCTGGCTAAACTATAAGCGCTAGGGCCAAAAGAATGAAAATCTGTGATCACTTTTATTCTCTATTTAAACTCGATTTTTGAGTGAAAACATAAAAGTCCCTTTTCTGGCTAAACTATAAGTGCTATGGTCAAAAGAATGAAAATCTGTGATCACTTTTAAGAAATCTCGATTTTTAAGTGAAAACATAAAAGTCCATTTTCTGGCTAAACTATAAGCGCTAGGGCCAAAAGAGTGAAAATCTGTAATCACTTTTATTCTCAATTAAAACTCGATTTTTGAGTGAAAACATGAAAGTCCATTTTCTATCTAAACTATAAGCGCTAGGGCCAAAAGAATGAAAATCCGTGATCACTTTTATTTCCTACTAAAACTCGATTTTTGAGTGAAAACATAAAAGTCCATTTTCTGGCTAAACTGTAAGCGCTAGGGACAAAAAAATTAAAATCTGTGATCACTTTTATTCTCTATTAAAACTCGATTTTTGAGTGAAAACATATAAGTCCATTTTCTGTCTAAGTGAAAACATAAAAGTCCATTTTCTGGCAAAACTACAAGCGCTAGGGCAAAAGAATGAAAATCCGTGATCACTTTTATTCTCTATTAAAACTCGATTTTTGAGTGAAAATATAAAAGTCCATTTTCTGGCTAAACTATAAGCACTAGGGCCAAAAGAATGAAAATATGTGATCAATTTTATTTCCTACTAAAACTCGATTTTTGAGTG